TCTCTTCTCCATCTACACGTCATCTCTAGGACCAGTCATCCAGAGACATGGATTCTCCTACCACTGCTATGCTGATGATACCCAGCTATACCTCTCTTTTCATCCTGATGATCCCTCGGTTCCAGCTCGCATCTCAGCCTGCCTGTTGGATATTTCACACTGGATGAAAGATCATCATCTTCAGCTGAACCTCGCAAAAACGGAAATGCTTGTAGTTTCTGCCAACCCGACTCTACACCATAACTTTTCAATCCAGATGGATGGGGCAACCATTACTGCATCCAAAATGGTGAAAAGCCTTGGAGTAACGATTGATGACCAACTAAACTTCTCTGACCACATTTCTAGAACTGCTCGATCGTGCAGATTCGCACTCTATAACATCAGAAAGATCCGACCCTTCTTATCTGAACATGCAGCTCAACTCCTTGTTCAAGCTCTTGTTCTCTCCAAACTGGATTACTGCAACTCTCTACTAGCTGGGCTTCCAGCTAACTCTATCAAGCCTCTTCAACTGCTCCAGAACACAGCAGCACAAGCGGTCTTCAATGAACCTAAACGAGCACATGTCACTGCGCTGCTAGTCCGTTTGCACTGGCTGCCAGTTGCTGCTCGCATCAAATTTAAAGCTCTGATGTTTGCCTACAAAGTGACTTCTGGCCTTGCTCCTTCTTATCTGCTCTCACTTCTGCAGATCTATGTGCCCTCCAGAAACTTGCGTTCTGTGAATGAACGTCGCCTCGTGGTTCCATCCCAAAGAGGGAAGAAATCACTTTCACGAACGCTCACGCTCAATCTGCCCAGTTGGTGGAATGAACTCCCTAACTGCATCAGAACAGCAGAGTCACTCGCTACTTTCAAGAAACGACTAAAAACTCAACTATTTAGTCTCCACTTCACTTCCTAATCTGCAATTGCCTCTCTGAATATCACACTAACTGTACCCCAAAAAAAAAAAAATAAATACTAATACTTTCCTTCTTAGAATTTACAGACCTGAAACTTGCCTATTGCACTTATTCATTGTTGCTCTTAGTTGTGTAAATTGCTTCCTTGTCCTCATTTGTAAGTCGCTTTGGATAAAAGCGTCTGCTAAATGACTAAATGTAAAATGTAAATGGCTGGATTTTTCAGCAGGGTAAAGGCCCGCAGCCCTGCACAGTTCAGTTTCAACCCTAATTTAACACACCTGATTATGTAATTGAGTCCTTCAGGCTTGTTTAAAACCTACAGGTAAAGCTGCGGTCACACTGGCACTCGCACTGGCAGTCATTCATAGGCACGCGAATGGGTCAGACAGGAAACGCAGGGTCATGCGTCAAGTTTTGCAGATTGCTGCGGTGCAAAGATCAAGCTTTGTGAACTCTGACCTGCGAAATTGCATCACTTGACTGCGTGAGACCAATCGAGGATCAAAACCCGACCTCTCTGGACAGAAATTTAAAACATGGGGCAATCAGTCACTTTTTTAATGTCTAATCATGTTGTTTAATCCCGCCCCTTTTCGCAGCGCCGCACGACAGAATTTTGCACACACAAACTCTAGTGTGACCACAGCTTAAGTGTGTTGGAGCAGGATTGGAACTAAACTGTGCAGGGCTGCAGCCCTCTAGGAACTGAGTTTGACACCCTGCAATAGACTGTTTAAACAGAGGTCCCATCACATCTGTATATATTTTAGCTGCTGTGTTGGGAGCACAGCGATTGCTCACGCCTCATTTCTCTTCTTACGTGTTGTAGCACTGCCGGGTATGCACGTGCATGTCTTATGCGCAAAAATAATTGTAAAATCATAAACAAACACTTTGATTGAAATCTTGAAACATTAGATTGGAGAGTACCGATCAAGTCATAAAATGTGATTATCGGCCGAAAGGGATTTCCAGCAAATCAATCAGAACATCCCTAGTTTCCACTGAATGAGGCACAAATAAAAACTTTTTTATGTTTCATCAGTATTAGTGCACAATCAAACTACAAAATAGTCAAGCACTATAAATAGGAAAATTACATTTAAATAAGAAAGAAATGTTTTTTTTTTTAAATGTAAGAAGCAAATAGTCAAATTCAATTCAATAATTTTTGCTAAGCTAAGATAAATGTTTTTCACGATCTAATCTGAGCTTTATGTTTTGTTAACATATTAATGTTGTTTATTGATGGGCTGCCATTAAACAAATACAGCTTGTGATATCAATGCTGCATTGATTCTGAGATTTTTTTAAATGCATCCCTATTCTCTCTTGGCAGCATGGTGGCGCAGTGGGTAGCACAATCACCTCACAGCAAGAAGGTAGCTGGTTCGAGCTGTGGCTGGGTCAGTTGATGTTTCGCTGTGAAGTTTGCATGTTCTCCCTGCGTTCGTGTGGGTTTCCTCTGGGTGCTCCGGTTTCCCTCACAGTCCAAAGAAATGGGGTACAGGTGAATTGAACAAGCTAAATTGGTGTAGTGTATGTGAGTGTGTGCAAGAGGTTGTGGATGTTTCCCAATGTTGTGTTGTGGCTGGAAGGGCATCCGCTATGTAAAATGTGCTGGATAAATTGGCGCTGTGGCAACCCCTGATTAATAAATGGACTAAGCCCAAAAAAATGAATGAATGAACTATTCTCTCTTGAGGTGATTCTGAGCTTTTTTAACAGCAGATGGCGCTCAAGGTTTTACAAAAAGCCGTTCTCTGCTTGAAACCAATTGAAACTAAAATAATCATAATGAAGTTAGGAATGATTTAAGAATTAAATTACAAGAGTGTTCATAGTTAGCTGTGTTTACCTGAAATTAATGTCATAAAAGCCAGTTTATATGACTTGACCGAACACACAAGCGCTCTTCCTCATAAGCATTTGAGTGTACAGTTAAAAACTAGCCAAGAGCGCCATCTGCTGTTAAAAACTAAGCTCTGAATCGATTTAAGGGAGTATAGCTATGCATTTTGAAAATCTCTGAATCTATTTCTCACACTGTTTTATTGCCACAGTCAGGGCCGGTAAGTCTATAGAAGCGACCTAGGCGGCCGCCTAGTGCGGCAGAATAGAGAGGGTGGCATCTCTCTCACTACTTGCTTCCTCAGTTATGTCTGCGACACCTCCCTCACCACCATTCGGGTTATAGTACTTTGCCTACAGCGGCAGCTCAGCTTGCTCCGGCCCTGGCCACAGCCCTAGTTTTAAACAAATTACAAAAATTGGCATTTTATAATATTGTTGGTTGGAATCTCCAAAAGTAAGAGAATCATGTTAAACAATCAGGCAAAAAAAAATATTCATAAAGGGTTGGTCAGTTAAAAATGAAAACTTTTACAGAATACTTGGTTGATATGTATATGTTTGTTGCTTTTTATAGTGATTTTAATACGTTTCATAAAGTTATGAAAAGACATTTCATAAAATAAAATATGTAGAAACTAAATACTTTAAGGGGCATCAAAGAGGTTTAGTAGGCAGCACTATCATCACACAGCAAGAAGGTCGTTGGAGTTGGGTGCTGTGTTTTTTGGCATTTCTGTGGGGAGTTTGCATGTTCTCACTGTTTTTGCGTGGTTTTCCCCAAAGTCCAAAGACATGCACTAGGTGAACTGGGTAAGCTAAATTGACACTAGTGTATGTGTGTATGAGGGTGTATGGGTGTTTCCCAGTAATGGGTTGCAGCTGGAAGGGCATCAGCTGCATAAAACATAAGCTGGTTTAGTTGGCAGCTCAGTCTGCTGTGGTGACCCCTGATTAATAAAGGGACTGAGCCAAAAAAAAAAGAATGAATGAATAAATACTTTAGACCAACTACGTCAGTCAACAACAAATATGTGATTTTAAGCAGGGATTTTTAATTTATTTTTCATATGCGACATTGCATTATTTATTTATTAACAGACAATGACTCAAACATTTTAACTGATTTACAGACACAAAAATGTTTCAAGTCTAACAAGAGTTTGATATACCCTACCAAAAATATTTTAAACATATTTGTACTTTGCCACAGTCCTTTAAATGCTCTACCCCTTTTGTCAACATAATATGTTCGATTTCATGAAATGTCTTTAGTTTTTAAATATTTCGATTCAAAAACAAAAAGGAGATTTTTATTCATTATACATTTGTTTTTATGTATTTTAGTTATTAATGTTTTTACTTTAGCCGATAACGACTCAAACATTTACACACACTGAAACGTTCAGTCTAACAATAGTTTAATGTACCCTAAAATTGTTTTTATTTACGGGGCGACATGGTGACATAGTGGGTCAGTTGGCATTTCGGTGTAGAGTTTGCATGTTCTCCCCGTGTTCACGTGGGTTTCCTCTGGGTGCTCTGTTTTTTTCACCCAGTCCGTCTGTCCAATTGGACGTCAGTCCAATGACGTGTTGTAGGTGAACTGGGTAAGCTAAATTGGTGTGATTGAGTGTTTCCCAGTGATGGGTTGCAGGTGGAAGGCCATCAGCTGAGTAAAACGTGCTGGATAAGTAAAAAGAAAATGATGTTTTTATTAACATATTTGCCATAGTCCTTTAAATGCTTTGACGATTTTGTCAACAAAAAATGTTTTTTTAGCATTTAAAAACGTATTTGTTATTAAGCGACAATGAGAATCAGCATGTTGCTAATTGTTTGCATAAATATGTCACACTAAAGCACAATGAAAGATTGTTTCCCCCAAATGTTGACATTTTATTTTACAAAAGTTTTTAAAACATTAATGTAGGCGCTTTTGTTTATAGAATTACGTCAAATTTCATTAGATTTAGATGCTAAATACTACATAACTTTCATAAGATATGAGCCTAAATGACCACAAGACCAACGTTTGTGATCTACGCAAGTCATATAAGCTTTGCGCTAATTTCATGCACGCCCCGCCCCAAGAGTGACGTGAAATGGAAACGTACTCCCTTGAACCCGCATCTACGCAGTCATTTCCAAACACGCGGCGAGAAGCGCAAGAGAAGCCCGCAGACAGCTTTCTCTCACACACATACATACACACCAAAGACTTTTACGTTCACAAACACAGCTTTAGAATACACAATGACAGAAGAAAACATTTCTATAGAAGATGTAAAGGCGTCAAATGGCGAAGCGCACCTGGACGTTCCGCCGCACGCCAACGGCTTGAGTGAGCACCGGAGGAGCGAGCCGGAGAGCACCGCGCAGAAAGTGAAGCGCTTCGTCCTGGCCAATCTGTTGGTCATCCTCACTGTGTCCGCGGTCATTGTCGGCGTACTGATCGGCCTCGGGGTGCGAAACGCCGGGTTGAGCCGCACGCAGATTATCTACTTCGGCTTCCCCGGAGAGCTGCTCATCCGCCTGCTTAAAATGATCATCATCCCTCTGGTGGTCTGCAGTCTGGTGTCCGGCGCGGCCAGCATTGACCCTAAAGCCCTGGGCAAGCTGGGCGGCTGGGCGATGCTCTTCTTTCTGGTGACCACTCTGATCGCCTCTGCCATCGGCGTTATTATGGCGTTCATCATTCACCCTGGCTCCAGCGATGGCAAGATGTCCCAGCTCAACGCGCAGGACGACAGCTCGGTTCCCGAAGCCAAAGATGTCATCGATTCATTTCTAGACCTGATAAGGTGAGTCGGTAACGCGGTGTTGACGTAAAATGTACTTTTAAGTTACACGTGTTTTTTGTACTATACTTTCGGGCTTTTGTTTCGGAGTTAGTCACACGACGTTTATAACCAGTTTTTTGTTTGTTTTTGGAGTAACAATTTGAGCATTGTTACATACATTGTATTTCATACTTCGTTACCATGTGGCAGTGGAATGTCACTGAAAGAGCTGTTTCAAAGAACCGACTCACGGAAATGATTCAATGATTTACCTAACAGGAAGAGGAAAGAATATATTTACTCACGCACGTCACCAAACAAGAAATAGTAAGTTAGATACAAAAATAGCTTTATGTAACTACAATCAAAAAGTTCTTCCGAAAAATTACAAATGTCTACATGAACTGAATCGCAGCTGTCACCGACGTTACGTATATTCTCAGACATTGTTGTTTAAAAACTATCTTGAGTATGGCATGTTTATAATCACTTATTTAATCACTTTCTTTTCATTAAAGTCACTCATTGTTTTTTATTGGTTGTAAATCCCTAAACGAGCATTGTTTTGACCATTTTTTTATAGCATGAGCCGCGTGACGTCAGTTGACATGTGCTGTAAACGGGCTCTTGAGTTGCATCAGATGCGCGCTCGCGTTGGCGCGTTTAATCCCCCTCTGAAGAGGATGCATACTTATGATCAGCGAAAATTCATCTGTCATTAATAGTTTCCTTCTCTGGTTGGTACTTTCCTCAGCTAGAGGAAGTAAATACCGTGGTTGTTTTAGGGTATATTTCGAATTGGGGCACTAATAATTATTCTAAGTTAGTTGGACACGCCGATGAAGGCAGTTGTTTATTCTTAGAACTGAGGCGAGCGTCGTTTGCGTTCCTCAAGAAAACCTTAGGCAGACCGACTGTGGGTGGGTTTTGGGGTTTGGCTCTGTTGTCATGTAAACAGGTCAAATTTCATCGTGTTTTTTACAGAAGACCCGAAGAGAACATTCTGTTCCTTTTCATTCGAAAACAACAACAACTAAATACATTTTGTCAGAGGATTGTTTTGCCACTGTTTAAGAGTAGCAGGCTAATATGACTGTATACCGACTATAAATATTTACACTGACACAAATTAGGGTGACCTGACCCAAGGGAAATGTCACTCAGCTGACAGACGGAAAAAACACAAAATGAGCTACATACTACTTTTACAGATAATTATTTAGTTTGTTACTTCATGTTTGTCCCATGTTAAAGCAATACACCTCATCCACTTTTTGACGTAGAAATCATTCACTTTTTTCACAACACTTTCCTCTTAATCTTAGCTATTTATTATGAATTTCAGTTTCAAGACTGGTCCTAAAATTTTTTTTGCATAATTATAGAAGCGTTAGTTTGCGAACAGATGTCCATTCATTGTCATGTGATCAAACAAGCTAAACAGTCAAAGCCTGATACAATAACAATTTATTGTGCAACAGTAAAAAAAGTAATAGACCCTAACAGTCTCCCTGATGGTAGATCTGTTTTAGTTTAGATTTATTTGTCATTTGATAGTTCAGTTTCGCCAAAAGTAATCAGAATTCATAAATCATTATATTTTGATATATATATATATATATATATATATATATATATATATATATATATATATATATATATACATATACATATTTACATTTACATTTAGTCATTTAGCAGACGCTTTTATCCAAAGCGACTTACAAATGAGGATAATATACATATATATATACTGTACAAAGCTATGCAAATGGTTTATGCTCTTAAAAACTTAATATATATCAAAATCATTAATGCATTAGATCAGTTAATTTGTTTGCATATGATTTTGGAGGGCTCATACGTTTTTTGATAAAAAAAAAAATACTTCAACTTTTAAGAAACAAAAAAGGCTTAATGCAATGTTATTTTTAAATCAGGTTTACTTTTATATTCTTTAATGAAAGGGGTTTAGTTTTTTTAAATTATTATTGCAAATAATATAATAGTATTTGATGCAAAGTTAATGATAAATGAATATATTACTACTTCTGTTATTATATCATTATATATTTTATGATTATTGATTATAATAAAAGTAACAAACCTGAAATGGAAAAAAGTCACAAAGCTGTTTAACATGTCATTCCATTTGTAAGAATAATAATAATAAACAGTATGATGATGACGGTATTAAATGCTTAAATCAGATGATTAAATACACTACAAATAAGTTTAAAAATGCATGTAAAAAATCTGATCATCAATGCAAATAATCTAAATGGCTTTGTACATTATTATTATTTTTTAAATAAGCAAACTTTTTTTATTGCAATTTAACAAAACAGCAAACCCAAACTTGCACACTAAACGTGGACTTGGCATCTCTCCCATTCCACTTGTATTGACCGTTTTTCGAGTCAAAGATAGAATCCCAATTTAAAACCAAGCTGAAAAATTTTCTCTTTTGTGTCTCCAGTGGAAGTCAATGAGGCGGCATGTGCTGTCCACACAAGGGCAGCTCTGTAATGCTCAGACACAGTCATGCACAATAGAAGCAGGGTTAATTAGGCAGCTGATGTGGCTTGTGCCATTTATCAAAGGGGCTTCTCCCTTGGAGGTTTTCCATGTCATACAGTTACAAAGACCACCACGGCGCTCTATTAATTTCACACTCTTAAGCTCTGCGCTCACTCAGCTGGACCGTGTTTCAATAGTCTACACCCATTAGGTTCTGGCATGTGTAGTATAGATCTCTTGGCTTGGCACATCTTTTTTTTAAACTCTCGTTTAGTTTTTTCTTTTCCTGAAGGATAATTTTGTTTTATCTGTAGTTGTATTGTCTTATCAGGTTGGAGTCTGATAAAACACAGACATGTTGTGAAACAAGCTCTCATACCTTTGTGTTACGCAAATAAAAATATAATGTTTATCGTAAATCTAATGTCTTGTTGTTGGGAACTAATCTGAGCTTCCTTTTCTGAAATATTTTGAAGAATGTCCAAGCTTTTTTTTTATTATTTATTCAAAGTGACCATGGGATGTTTATATCATCATTAAAATAGGACGAAAAATGACCAACATGGTGACCAAAAATTGTAACGAGTTGGTTACTAGTTACTAGTTAGAAGAGTGTTTCCTAGTGATGGGTTGCAGCAGAAAGGACACATGTTGGATAAGTTGGCAGTTTATTCTGCTGTGGCAACCTCTGATTATTAAAGGCACTAAGCTGAGAAGAAAATAAATGAATGCATTTTGTTACTTTTCCAAAGAAAAATTTTAATGCTAGCATTAATGCCCTTAAATTGTCACTTTAGTGCTTCATGGAAAATACACTGTTGATCAACTTCACAGTTTAAAATAAAAAGATAAACTTGTATAAAAAGTAAGTTTTTAAAGACTAATTTATTTAAGTCAGACCAGCAGCACAAAATAAAAATGTCACAAGGATAAACCAGCTGAGTAAAATATTCGAAAAATTAAAGTTGTTTCAGCGTCATAAAAGTTGCCGTTTTTATCCTTTAAACACATTCCTTCACAGCTTGAGTATGAAAATAGCAACAATATATAACAATCACAAAACCATTATGAATAAATGAAAATAATCTGAATTATCATTCAGAATCAATTTAGTGAAGCTCAGTACCAAAAAAAAACAGCTATTATAGACAATCTTAAATTTTATGCATTTTAAACTAAACAAGAACACACAACCACAATGTGATATGTTAACAACTTAAAACTTAACAACTTAACTGGAAAGTAATCTGTGTATATTCAAAGCAAAATCCGCTGTTGTGTAACAGCTATAAAAATATGTAAAACAATAAAAAATAAATCACAGCATTTTTTTCTGTGCAATACGACACTATAAATAATAATACAACACTATTAAATAACGTGTTCTGAAATATAACTTGAACATATCAGTTTTGTTAAACGGATAACAAATGTGGGATTATTTATTTGAAACAACCATAGTAGTATTAGAAATAGTAACGTTAATAGTCTCTCACGCGGATGCACACTAGGCCTACAACATGAGCAGACTATCGCTCTCGCACGCGTACGTGGCCTCTTTCGTGCACACCCAGTGTCTCTGCTTTCACTTTACTTTTGTCCAGTCTCGTACCACGATGCATCTTCTTTTTGTAGTTGGCATCCACCAATCCTACAGTGCATCGCTGCTGTAAACAGGATATAGGCTAGAATGCATGCAGGCAAAATGAATTAATTTACCAAGTAATAGACAAGCGCATAATATTGTAACAATAACACTACGTTTAAAAAGTAATGATACGGTATTATTTACTGTCAAAAGTAGTGCTGTTTTAGTAGCACATTACTAGTAACACCTTATTGCTCAACACAGGTGACCAACACGTCTTATTTAAAATGTACAGAAATTTGCAGAACTAACTGAATTTAAATGGATATGTCCCCAAACATCTAAATTATTTTATGATCTACCCACCATTTACTTGTTTGAGTTTCCTTCGTCTGATTGAACACAAATTAAGAGATTTTGAAGAAAGTTAGAAACTTGTAGTCATTGGCTTAGTAGTTTACAGTACTAGTACCAGTATACAGCATTGTTCAAAATATCTTCATTTGTGATCAACAGAATAAATTCAAAGCTTTTAGATCCACTTGAGGGTGAGTAAATAAGTACATTTTATTTTATTTTGTTAATTAGCTATACTATAAGACAGGGGTGTTTAAACTCCTGGAGAATTTAGTTCTAAACCTAATTAAAGACTACTGAAACGCCCCTGCCATAAGATATTAAAATTCAGGAATGGAAAACAGCAGCTTGTACATTTTTCTGAAGTTCTCTTTTTGCATTCTACTGTCAAAAGCAGGTCAGTTATATTTGGAATGACACTTAAATTGATTCACACTGATTATATCTAAATTCTTCCTGTACTTAATTTGTTTGCTTTTTTGAACCTGAAAATCACCTTCTGTTTCCCCAGCATAGCCTTTTTTGTGTGTGTACACTTTGAGATTTATTTTAGATG